ATGATCTCCATTCAGAATTTCTCATAATCCTTGTATCTTCATTGATTCTCTTAACTATTAATCATAAGTGACCAAATCAATTATGCTTTTAGATGTCTATTATTTTCTTTACCATATGTTCTTATAAACAGACTAATACTTTAAGCATATATTTGCAATCTTTTTCTGAACTGTTATTCACTAAATATTCACCATTCTCATTTCTTCTTCAGTCTTCAAATGACCCAGTCACTCTTCTCATTCATTTTTGGGTCTTCAAATAGCCAGGTGCTTTTTCTATACTCCTGTCTCATTCTCACCAATCTGCTAATTTATCCTAGAAGAATATATCCCCCCTTGGCAGTTATTATTTCTCATTTTTTTCACTAAAGCCATCATTTGTTCTTCCATGATAACTGTCCATTGGAGTATAACATGTATCTGTCATCAATCTATGGATTCATACTTTTGTATGTACCTCATAACAGATGCTGATAGATACTTTCTGATACACATTCAAAGCCATTCCTTCTTATACTTTTAATTAGCTGCATATATTCATTAACTGTAGAACAGAATAGGAAAAGGATTAAAAGTCAAGAATTCTAGATTTTGTTCTAAAGTCAAAAGGCTTCCAGTAAGAACCATATGTGAAGAGCCAGTTTGGTATAATTAAGCCATTAGGCTAGGAACTGGGAAATTGTGAGTTCTAGTACTGTCAGTCCCAGGAAGAAGGCATTCAGATTTACTTCCGAAATCCTGCCAAGAACACTGCAGGGATTTGGTCAGGCAGTGTCCAGTGATTGGAAGAACCATATGTAATTGATCTAGGTTTGCTATACTCTGAGTGATAGATTTTTACCTGCTATTCTTAACAAAGATTCAGAAGTAGTGAAGAAAGTTACAGCGTTTGTAGATATAGAATTGGTTGGATTCTTCCTACCATTTAATAAAAGATGTGAAAGATCGAATGAAAGCTAGTTGTCCTATTTCCATATCTCTAATTCACGGAATGTTTCTAAAAGCATAATCGAATAAGCTTTTAGAGTAGAGTACCATTAATTTTTCCATCATGTGTGTCTTTCTAATATGGAATTAAGAGAAGGGCATGTGTTCTTTTAGAATGGTTTTATAGCTAATTTAAAACTGATGAAATCTAAACAAATAAATTCCTGAAAGGTTTTGCATATTCTGGTTTATCAGATAACATAACTCAGTTTTTCTAAATTTGTAGAACAAAACTGTGAATAAGTCCTTGTTTTATGTTGGCATTTCCAAGCTGGAAAAGGCAAAGTCCTTTATTCTTTATCTTTGAGAATATAGTACATGCTTCTTTCGTACTCAAAATGAAAGTATTTTATAGTAAATAAGGCACTATGGTAGAAAACGTTGAGTTCTAGTCCTGTCTTAGGCATGAAAGCCAGCCAGCTGGGTAACTTTGGACCAGTCATTCCCTTTCAGCTTGATGTACAACATCAGGTCCGGAAGACAAGCTATTTGGTCAATTCCTGCTGCAAATAATGTATCAACACTTGGTTGATCTGAAAAAAAACCCAGACCTGCATTTGCAGAAAAATACTAGGAAGAAAACAAATTATTGAGAATTCAGGATTATATTAAGGGATCTTTTGGTTGGTTCATTGGATTGGAAACTAGCACAATTGAGTAGTAATTTTGCAATCATAGTATGTATTAGTAATATCTGCTATAGTAATGTACTATTTACATATAATATATATATATATTACATAGCATATTATATTACATATACCAGTAATATATTATAATATGTATATTATAATATGTAATATTATATTGCATAGTATATTACATATCATATAGTATAAAAATATACTATTATTATTATCCTTCTCTTCTTTCCTATTACTTATTCTTATTGATATCTTATGACTATCACTTTTTGGTTGTATCATATGACTTATGTTTGTATCTTATGATTTATGATTTATCACTTTATTGCTTGTATGTATACTGAGAGCTTTATGCCCTGGAGACAAATTCCTTGTGTGTCCAGTCACACTTGGCCAATAAAGAATATTCTATCTATTCTATTCTTTAGGTCAATAACTATAGCACAACTACTGGAGTATAACTTTTCTTAAAATTCGTACATTTAATTTGTATTACTTTCTCTTTCTTATGTAAACAAACTTTAGTTTAGCTCCTGGAATGTAGTCTTTCTGATGCCTTGATAAAAATTAGATTAACTTTATGAAACAACAGACTCCAGATCCAGGTTTCTATAATAGTATTTAAGAGGAAGGCATAAATTCCATTTATAAATGCACAGACCACTTTTTGTGGCTTAGTTCATACACTTTGAGCCATATTATGGTCTGCGTGTTTTCAAGTTTTTTATGTTGAACAAATCCATCCACTATGCTTTGTGAGCCATGGCTTATAAATATCATACTAAGCCCAAAATGTAATGAAGTGCATTTTTGATATTCTAAAAATCTGGCTAGAAACATCAAGATCTTTTAGAAACACATATATTTGCATATGAGTGATCTCTCTTTCTTCTTTCTCAGGAAGTGGGAGAGTCAGGGCCAACACTTTCTTATTCATACTTTATACATACATACCAGAGAAGCAAAAGGAAGTTGAACTGAGTAATTGATCGTAGAAGTGATACTTGAATAGTTGAATGCTCAAATTTTGAAAGGTTTACCATCTACTTTACCTTCATTCTCATGTACTATTTGGCTGGTGACATAGTGTTGTGTTTTCAGTATGTCATTTTTGTACAGATTGTAGGACTGTTTCCCATATGATTCTTTCTACAGAGAAATTACTTTGAAGTAGGAAAAATGCATATGTTTGCAAAGTAAGAAGTTACATGTTTATATCTGCTAGGTATTGTAATAATTTCCACTAGAAAAATCATTGCATAATACAAAACTTGGTATTTGCTTTTCCTTTTCCATTGTTCTCAAACTCACCTCTTCCAAGTTGGTACTCTGTGTGCATATATTGTATATTATCCAGTGGCTGCCTTAATTAGTAAAATAAGTTAACATCTTAAATTTACTAGAATAGAATAGAGAATATTAACGTAATATTGTCAACTAACTTCATTTTACACATTTCAATTATCCTGTACAATCTTATTTGAGAATAAACCTTAGTGAACTTAAAGGGACTTATTATTAGTACACAACAATAGGATTATATTATTAAAGTTCATAGATCTTTTTTTAAAAAGACATTTCAATAAAGGCAAATTACTGTAGTCTTAGTTTATAGACACATGGGGATCTGGTATTTGTTTTATGTAATTTATTTATTTATTAAACTTATACACTGCCCTTCTTGCCTAGAGCTGTCTCTGTACTGATTTCTGTACTGTAGTGTTTTTCTATATTTACAATTATTAGCTTTCTTATTTTTATTTATGTCTTAAAGGGACAAATACTGCTAATAGATTAATTGAGAATGAGGGCATTAATTAATACAAGAATACAGAACAGTATATAGAGATTCTTTGTATATTTATTCGAAAATGGATCTCTTTTTTTATTCAGGAGCACTCTTTTTTTATTCAGTACTTTGGATTGTCTGATAAGAGATTATAAAATTAGAAAGAAATTACCTTTTTTTTAAATAGAGGAACTTTTAAATCATAAGCTATATATAAAAAGAATGTCTAGAGCACTGTGCTTTTTAGGAGCAAAAGAAATAAATGCATCAACATTTATGCATCCCCTACCATTTTATGATATATTCTTCCTGAAATAGCCAAACCAACTACTGTCGGCAGTTTGTGCAGGAAATTGCAGATGAAGGTAATCAATAATTTACACAAAAAATTGAGAGACTATTAGCCAAAACAACTTTTCATGTCTTGTAACATGTAATCTTGATCCTTAAATATTTTACATTTGAGGCCAGATATTGTTTTAATAGTCATTTGTAGCTCTTTATAAAGCATTTTTGCTGGTTTTTCTCTTTTAGGATCGGAAGCTGTCCAAATCAGAAAGGCAACGGTTTAAGGAGGAAGCTGAAATGCTGAAAGGGCTTCAGCATCCTAATATTGTTAGATTCTATGATTCCTGGGAATCTACAGTCAAGGGAAAGAAATGTATTGTTCTCGTTACGGAACTTATGACATCTGGCACATTGAAAACGTAAGTATAAGCTAGTGGAGCGCAAACCTGAATTATCAAAAAGAAAAGGAAAGCATGGTAATTTCCATTTTAGGCACAAACCTCCTTAAATTATGGCAGGGAGTATTTTTCTCCACTGTTTATGAGGAGGAGGAGGTCAACATGTTCCAGCTTGGCTTCAAAATTATGAACATTCTGGGACTATTGTCAATGCTGTATTGTGAGAGGAAATGTTGAGTTTTTAAGAATTTCATTTGGCAAGCCACCTCATGTCCATACTGTAGCAAATGCTGGGAATTCCAGGCAGAATGAGTAGCAAGGGAGTCCTCTAGTGGTCAGTAAACCATTGACCAATATTCATAGTATTTCAACAGCATACAGTGTTACGGTAGAATATGCTTATTTATACAGTATAATCAGAGCATTCTAATTTTAAGTAATTCAGCTTAACTATTTGAAACTAGAATTTCTTAATTGGAGACACATTTTTGAGGTAATATGCATACTTTGGGGCTCTGAATACAGATAATTCGAGAGTAGATTCCCTTTTTGTGACTGAAGACTGTACTTTAAAAAAAATTGGCTTGAAGGACTGCAAGAAGATCATATGATATTACATGATAGGCAGTTTTGTCTAGGTTGCAGGAGGTTCAAGGGAGTTAAGTGTTGAACTTTAAAAAACACTAAATTGTGGATCATTTTACCTCTTAATTTTGATATTCTGAGGTCCATACATAGGGCCCACATTTAGACTATGATTGGTCACATCTGTGCTAAATATTGGAGAACATTTAATGAGAATTTCTGAGAGTACTGAGAATACTCTGTGAATGTTCAAGTTAAGTATAGTCTTAATGGGTTTTTAAAATTTTATTACATTTATATTCTTCCTCCAGGAAATCAGTGTACAGTATACAGCAATCATTCTTACAGTTTTTAAAATTAAAAACCATGTAGTATCTGTTTTCTATGAGGATCTTAAATGTTAGAAATTTTAGAAGGATTGCAGTTGGTATTTCAATCTAATACATTAGAAAATATTCTTAGCTAGTAAATACCATCTGTGTTTCCATAGATCAGGGATGGACAGTGTGGTGAATCTACAGGTTCTTTTATTGCTACCTGGCAGGCTTTCTACCATTACCCTCCCTTTTTAATTTTAGGTAGATTCCTTTAATTAAAAAGAAAATAAGCAAGTTGCAACATGCCTGAAAAATTATAAAAGGAGCATACTTTAGAAAATATATTACTTTTCAAAGCAAAACTGGTTTTATTTTA